ATTCATATGATGAACATCTATCTTAGTTTTATACTTGATAGATTTATTAATGTCACGATCTCTAATTCAAAACAAATGCTATGTCCATATCATTAGGAAATATTATAAATTTATTTTTAAAAAATCAAACAAAGTGAATAAACAACATTTAATAGCTCTAATCAATGTAGATTTTCTAAAGAATAGTACATCAATTGTTGCTCGGCTATTGAAGTTAAACAACATTTAACTACACTGATTATAAATGGTTTTAGATTATCAGTGTAGATAGAGAGCCATGATTTTATGTCAAGTATATGAATTTCTCAATTTTAGATCAAGTATATGAGTTTCAATCACGATAATTCTAAGCACATATTTGAGGTATATATCTTTCATAATCCAAGAAATATCACACAATCCAACTATATAGTCAAGGGATTTAAGTCTCTCAGTAGCATCCATCCACGACCTTGCTTGCAACCTTGTACATGTCTATTAGAGGTATGTATATATCACAATCATTCAAGAGAAATAACGCTCATAATTCATAAATAAATCTTGATTAGAATAATTTCTAAATAATTGTCCTTTCTATGCAATGTGCAATTTAAAACACTCAAGGGAGGAAACAAAAAATTGTCAACATAGAAGCGGTCATAAAAGATTCATATATTTTATCAGCTCCAAATTAAAATTATTTTCTTTGCTCATTTCATTTAGATATATATTAACAATAAATAGAAGTATATCAGTGATATATGAAAGTATATGAGATGCAAACAAAGAATTAGTTATAAATCAACTTGTAAACAAAAAAACCTCCTTTACTTAATCAGTGATATACTAAAGGAAACAAAAGACTAAAATTAATCGAAAGTCAAAAGGCCAAAGTTGCATTAACTTTATTAGTCTTTCAACTTTTTTATATTTGCTTGAGTTAGCAATTCATAACTAGGATTGCATATTGATCATCCAATTTTTTGTGCTTATTTTGAGCTTTACCCTTGTCTTTGAGCTTTACCCTCGTCAGTTGGTGTATTTCATAACTAGCAAGTTTAAGCACTATCATTCTTTTTTATATATTTCAAATAATAATAATATGAATATTCGTTCGTATGAATGACCTTTTTTTTTTGGCTTGATTTTGTGTGATATGAATGACTACGAACAAATAAAATTTGCTTTTTTGAAAGTTGAATGGCCGATCTCACCCTTTCTAATGTTTAAGTCAAAATCAGTATGTGTCTATTATTTTGCTTTGTGCTTTCAAATAAAAAATTCTTGTTAGGAGAATGATGCCTTACCTTATTGATTTATTTATAATTTATAATTTATAATGTTTTTTAATACATGAAAATTTAAATTACATTTTTTTATTTTGTTAATGTAAAGTGAAACCTTGGATATATATTTTTTATTTAAAACAATATCACATGATACTCGAAATCACATTAGATTCCAATCAATTCAAGTTAATTCTTTGATGCCAACGATGATAATTCTTTCACAAATATCTTGCTATTAAAACAAATGCCTATTCATTTTAAAGACATTTTTTGTATTGATACCAAAAACTTATATCATTACATTACTAAAAAAATGGAATTTAGTCATTTTTTCTTGTTAAATTGCATTCCCTCACTAAATTTTTTGCTAAAAAAATGGTTCATTAAATTTAGCGAGAGATTGTATTTTCTTAATTAATTAGTGAGATATTTAGTCGCTTACTAATTTCTAGTGAGGGTCATATATCTCGTTAATACTATTCAAAATTCGATAACCTTATTGAGGGATTAGTTTCTTGTTAAATATGTGTATATTTAAAAATGGTGATACTACATCATCCTTTATGCACGCATCAACTTGTAATATATAGCCAACAATCTTGTGCCTCATCAATTATCATGTCATTTACCATTCGTACCTTGTCACATGCCATGTGTGAGATAACTCATGATATATTCCCATGTGACTTGTTTCTTGACATGTTATATATTCATTATGTTTATATTGAGGTTAAGAATTCAACATTTAACTTCCTATCTTTTAAATCTTATACTTTCATTCTTTACTGGTTGAGTTGAAAGACACATATGGTATCATATGAGAAATTAAATATATATTATTTAACTACACAAATTTATCAAATAATATATTATAAAAATATACACATATATTATCATCCACCTCGTCCCATGTGACTTGTTTCTTAACATGTTATATATTCATTATGTTTATATTGATGTTAAGAATTCGACGTTTAACTTCCTACCTTTTAAATCTTATACTTTCATTCTTTACTAGTTGAGTTGAAAGACACCTATGGTATCATATGAGAAATTAAATATATATTATTTAACTATACAAATTTATCAAATAATATATTATAAAAATATACACATATATTAATTTTATTTTCAATTATTAATATTTTAAAAACATTTATATTTTATTTAAATTATTCTTTATATTATATTTTTAATAAAATATTATTTTATTAAAGAAAGTGAACTTAAAGTAAATAAAATATTAAATTTTAAATAATTTTATTAAGAATATTTTAGTTAATTTTTAAATTTAATTTTTATTTTAAAATAAAAATAATTAAATATATAATTAAAAGTTATTGTCAAAAGTTAATTTTTTTTTATGATAATTAGCTTGAGATAGAATTACTCGCTAAATTCTTTGTTAATTATCTTATTTATAAGGGATAGATAATTTCTTGCTATTTTCTTCGCTAATTATTTTATTTTAGAGAAGGATTGATAGTTTCTCTATATTTTTCTTACTAATTTTAAGTTGAGCTGTAAAATTAATATCTCTCAGTAATGTGATATTTTAGAGAGGAATAGACAATCTTTCGCTAAATTTTCTTGCTAATTTGCATTTGTTTAGTAGTGTTATTGGTTAACTTAAAATCTTATCATTGTTTTTAGATGAAAGGCAATTTGTTATTCTTTTTGAACCACAATATATAGAGTATCTTCTAAAAATTCAGTTTTGCTTAAAATATATGGTATTATATAGGTTTTATAATTGTTTTTTTTTCAAATATACCTTTTATTTCATTTATTATTTTTTGGGAAAAAAGATTAATTAGATTTTCAATTGTCATTATTAAAACACTTATATAAAATATTTAATAAGATAAAATTTTGTAAGTGATTAAGGTTTTGCCTATTTTTTTTTTTGGAGACCATACATTAATTAGCAATTCCCTATAATGTTATTTAAAAAGAGGGTATGTTTATTGTTAAACCAATGTTAGTTGATGGGGATTTGTTAATAATTTTTCATTGCAATGCACAATCATAGGTTCCATATCATTAATATTTAGATTTTGAGCAATGACATTATCCAAACCACCTCAAACGTTACTTATACCACTGCTCTATCCATGTAAATATTCAAACTCAAGTAAAGAAATTGAAGAATTGGTTTCTTCATTTCCTATATTTTCGTAAAACCAATGAATTATGAATCTCCCAACTTCGCCAAAAATCCCCACTGACTTCTCAATGAATGATATTAGGCCTAATTCGATTCACAATTTTTTTTAAAAAATAAGTTTTGAAAAAAATTGTTTGATAATTATTCTAAAAAACATATTTAAAATGGTGAAGTGAAGAATAAAAGAATGATTTGTTTTATTAATATGATTGTCCTTAATAAAATCATAATATTTTCCTCCAGCCCTCTTCTCTAATTTATAGAACAAAAGGTAACAACATTAAAACATTGTTCTAGTCTTTTTATTTTTTAGAATAAATTTTGATTTTTAGTTTTTCAAAGCTCAACCAAAAGAACATTTTCAAATATGTTATTTTTTATTTTTCAAAAAGCAAACTTTTCTCAAAATAGAAAACCAAACAAGCCTTTTGATTTAATGTTCTTAACTATCTTGATGGCTAACTACTTTCCTACATGACTCTTTCCATGTATTCATGATCTATATGGTATTGTATGAATAAGGGATCAAGTTTCAAAGCATTAAATCTTGAATGTCCAAATTAAAACTAAAAATTCTCAATCTAATTTCACTTTATTATTATTTCTTAATTTTTCTATTGGTTTTGAGAGATGCACAATTTAAAATAAAACCAATCTTTTAACCATCATTCAGGAAAAAATATATATTTAAAAGTATAAATAAAAAAAATTTATCTAAACCATTGAATTTTAATTTAAAGATATAATCTTATCACGATGACAGTATCATAATGGCAAGATTGCATCCTAAATCCCATCTAATTATTAATTATAGCCAGATATATAAACATGATGAGTCTTTAATGTTCTTGGGTTATGAATCAATATTAACTTATCATCACAATCCTTCCAACCTTAGTTTAGGCCAGGAAATTTCCTCCTGGCCCTGAACCATAAAGGCCCATTTCTAATAAGGCATGATGTTACAACATATTCAATCTCACCTATCTCATTTTTTGATAGACTTGCCTAATTCAAGCGTCTGTTCGTAGATTTTTCTTTTTTAGTTGTGCAGAAGTGCGCGCGCATATATATGTTAGATGTGATGGGATAAATATTTAAAGTAATTTTTCATAATTAATTAATTCCTTAGAAGGCCTAACACATAATCTCATATGATGCATGATGTGCTCGTTGTGTATGATTGCCCTTCATTAACACTTCATTAACACTTATGGCTCTTGAAACTCTGTTTAAAAGAAAATTTTATGAGGTCCAAAATAAAGGTTTTCAAAAGACTGACTAAAGGCCCCCAATGTACTATATATAATGGTCAATTGTATGAAGGCAATATAAAAAAAAAAAAAAAGAAACCTATTTCATTTCAAAAGTGGCAATTACAAAAAAGCACACAAAGCATAATACTATGGGGACTTAGGAATACACATGACAACTCCAACTCACCCTTTGTTTATTTACATCCATTCTAATTTATATTTTATAAGCACACCTATTTAATTATCTATGACAAAGAACAGTTAATTGGAATCAAATAAGTAATACTATTTGACGCACACACTATGGCATTATTGAAGGATCATATTTGACTCTTTCTTAAACTTGATATCCTTAAGGAAAACACTTGTCAAAACATTTCTGCTTTGCAGAGAAGCCTCTAGCAATTGGATAGCCTGGTAAATGAGGGCATGTTTAGAGAAGTAGGAAAAAAAAAAAGAGCAGAACTATTTTCAAGTCAGGCACAGTAATTTCAATTATCCCAAAATCCCATGGAATAAATAAATTGCTAGCAAATCCATTAAATGTAAATAAGTTTGTCTATACAATTACACAAACACTACTATCAAATTTTATCTTTTAAAAAATATAATTCATCCACTATCAGTTGTTGAATTGCTCTGATCAGCCTCTCCATCATCGGCCAGCAATCATGGCTAGTCACCACTACCAATCATCTGTGACCAAAGCTCCATCATCGGCGGTGGATGAGTTATGTTTTTTTTAAAAAAATAATAAAATATGATAAGGGTATATTTTTGTTATTGCATAGATAAATTTATTTACATTTAAGAGACTTGGGATTTGATAGTAATTTATGGATCTTAGGGTATTTTGGGATAGTTAGAATTATTGTGTGGCCTGGACTTGACAATAATTCTCCAAAAAAAAAAAACTTGCACCACATACATATATTAAAATTACCTCTTGGATTCCAAACTCAACAACCATTTCTTGTATTGAACTGACGTCTTTGATATTGAACTTGTTGAGTGAAGCAATACACGAGATAGGAGACGTAGGTAGAACCTCAAGATCGTCCATTACCATATATGTCATAGCTTCCTTCACAAACCCATCCTCCCCACCAGCACCTTTCAATTCCATCTTCTTCTTCCCCGCATATGTTACAGAATCGTTCATCAAACGATCACAGTTTGGACACGAAGTGTTCACAACTAGAGTCACATAGTTAGAACACTTACTACCCCAGCTGCACCTGTAAAGCTTAGGAGGCTCATACATCTCACTATTCCCTTCGAAATCTTGTAGCAAGAGGAAGCTAGGAGGGATTAGGGTTGTTGGTTTCAATAACATGTCTTTGTCTTGGCTCTGTTGCAATAAGTATGTGTCGCTGAGATTCTCGATACTTTCACAAAGCTTGCCTAATGAACCTACCATGTTGGTTTTGGTTAGGAGGTTCGTGACAGCGCCGATCGGTAGGCGGTGGAGGTTGAAGAGGAAGTCAACGAAATCTTTAGATGCTTTGGCAAAGAGAACTCTATCAACTTTTATGTCAACTAAAAGCTTCAAGCTCATTTTTGATGTGGTTGATGATGATGATGTTGTTGTTGTTGTCATTGTTAACGATGAATCTGTGATATTAGTATGAATAAGTATATGAATTATTGAATAGCTATAGTGAGATCAATTTTGCAACATTTGAATTTAATTCGTATATATAAGAAACATATTTTCTCTAATTTTATTTATAAGTCACTTCTAACATTTTTACTGAAACCAAAAAAACCTTTAAACTTCATTAGTCTAAAAATTTAACAATTTGCCAAATTTATCCCTTATTAACATCAAGCTTCTTTTCAATTTTTTTGTGTGGGGTAGGTGAAGATTAGCTTACTTTTTTGTATATATTTGAACAAGCCAAGAAGATTTACCCAAATTGTGTGTGTGTGTCTAATCTTAGATATCTGATGTGGCATATATGCTGTACCCAACCTCCAGTAAAAAGAACACAAAGAAAAAAAATATAAAATTAGATCCCTTCTGGTTTAGGCAATATTTTTTTCATCTCAAAATTTGTATTTACAAGAAATAAAATATTGAATGAGAATAATCTTAAATTGAATCTCATATCTTAGTACCCATCTTACTAATCATACACCAAATTATAAAAATCCTCAAAATTTTCTTTGAACCATACAAAAAATCATGATCATTCAAAGGGAACTTATTTCTTCCTTTTAGATTTCTCTTTTAATACTAAAACACACTTTTGAATAGAAACAAATCTTTATTCTTTTATTCTATATCATATGTACGTACCTATGAGGTTCTTGAGCTTGAAATCTTAGTGATATCAGAACTTATTAGAACCACGATCTAAGTTCTTTATTGATTATTAGACCGAGGTAGGAAAATCAATAGTAGAAAAGGAAACTTAGTACATGTTAACATTTGAATTTGAGGTTAATTATATATACAAGGTTGTGAACGTAATGTGAAAGCGCAAAAATATTCATGACTTAAGCTTTTTATAAGTAGGATTCCTTGGACAAGAATATCATTAATTCTTTGCATAATCTCATGTTGTTAGTGTTTGTCTTTCTTTAAATTCTTTGTGTAATCTCATGCCATTAGTATATGCTTTTCTTTGAATAAAAAATAGCTATAATGAAATTTTTAGTCTCTCAAGTTTGCCTTAATTATCAATTAGGTCTCTCAAGTTTAATTTTTATCATTTTAATCCCTTAAGTTTGTGGCAATTATTGATCTAGTCCTTATTGTTTTTTTTTTGAAAACCTGGTCCTAATTGTTTTAAAAAGAAGTAATTAATACTATTAAAATATACTAATATGAATAACAGAATATTGATTATATCAATATAGATTAATAAAAAATAGTAATTAATTGTTTAAGTAGGAAAAATTGACTTAAGTAGAAATGCTAAAAAAGTATAAGAACAAAATTCAGTATAAGAGACAAGATTAATAAAAATTAAATTAATTTGAAAGCTAATTTATTTTCATTTAGTTACACATGCATACAAAGCCATCAACATACTTTATATATCATAATAATTTAGATAAAATTCATCTTAGGTCCTCTAACTTATTTATATAAGGTCTTAATTTGATCCCTTAATTTGATAAAGTATATTTTTATTCACTTAATTAAGTCTTAACCTTGACACAGTTATTAATTAATCTCAAATAATGATTTTTTTGCGTCAATTGTCATTGTTATTTTGAAAATTTAAATTTAATATATCAAACATTTAATAATTCAAAAATGATAATCAAATTTTTTTTAATTTATATAAATGATAATTTGGTCCATTAAAATGCAATAATTTCAGTGAAGTTTCTAGGGACTTAAATGTCAATAAATTTTAAAATGCAAAAACCATTTTACCCTTGTTGAAAATAATGAGCCCCAATTACAACTTTTACTTAATGAATAACAACTTTTGTTTTTATGAATTGTAAGTGTTGAACAAGAAATCACAACTTGTGAAGTGTAATTTTCACTATTGAAAAACAAGTTCCAATCACAACTTTTACTAAAGAAATAATAACTTTTGTTTTGTAAATTGTAAAAGTTAAACAATAAATCACAACTTGTCAAGTGTTACTTTTGTTATTGAAAAATAAATTCTCAAAATAATAAGCCCCAATTACAACTTTTGTCTAAAGGGAAAAAGCATAGCTTTTGGTTTATACACTTTGCTTCAGTTTTGGTTTTAGTTCTTGCGCTTTTTTTTTTATATTTTAGGTCCCTATATTTTTGTTTTTTTTATTATTTTAGGTCCCTCCATGAACAAAGTATAGGGACTTTGGAGGGACCTAAAACAATGATAAAAAAAAGTATAGTGACTTAAAATACCGAAAAAGTGCAAGGACTAAAAGCAAAATACAAGTAAAGTAAATGGATTAAAAGCTATGTTTTTTCCTGTTTAAAGAATAATTTTTATTCAAAGAATCACAAGAATTGAATAATAAATCACAACTTATCAATAAGTGTAAAATGATCTTGTCAATTTAAAATTTATTAACATAGAACTTGCTAGAAACTTTAGTAAAATTATGACATTTTGAGGGATCATATTATTATTTATATAATTTGGGAGGATTTTATTGTTGTCTTCCCTTTAATATATCTTTTGTCAACATTTAAAAGTTTGATATCAATATTTTTTTTGATGGAACTAATAATGTTAGAGTTAAAGGATTGAAACTATACTTTATAAAATTAAGAGATCAAAATAAAATATTACATGTGGTTAAAAAAACAAATATGAACTTTTTTGTTTTCATTAATTTAAGAGTCATTTAGTATTTTAAAACTCAAAAGATTAACATGATAAATTAATCTTAGAAAATTTAAAAGATTAAATTGACAAAAATTAAATTTAAAGAGTTAAATTAATAGTTGAGATAAATTTAAAAGACGGGAGGTTTCATTGTTAAAAAGACTCACCTTTATAATATAATGCTTCCAAGTTCCAACATTATTATTATGGGCTAGTAAATCTCCTCCAAACCTTACATAATTAAAGCACATTTCAGATTTGCTATAGTACTGTATTATAACATATTCCTAAAATCTTGTACGAAAAAAAAACGTATTATAAAAATCTAACGCATCTATATCCTTCAAAATTACTTTGATTAATTAAAAGACTTGTCTAACTCAAGTGATGTCTCTTATTACATTATTAGATCCTTTATTTGCATACACACACATGATGTATCTACATATTGTTAATTTCAATATCTCAATTCATATATGATTGAATACGATAGAATAAAGTAATATATGCGTATTTAAAGAATCCATGATCGCTTACTAGAGATACCTTGATCACCTCGAGTGTAGACAGACACACAATCTACTGGACCCCAGAATCTTCAGAGAGTGCAGAGATAATGGAGTAAAAAAAATGTATCATGTGTTTAGTGGTCATCGACTAATCGACTTGTAAGGATCAGATCAGTAACCACTTTATTAAATAATTAAATAATGATATTACATTATTTCTGACTCAGTCAGTTAAGAAATAAGGAATAACTGATGGCTACTCAATTGTGGATTGAGCCTCTGCCCATTGGACTCACTTATTTGGTCCACCTATCACGGTCCACACAAGATCATAAAAACCAATCTATTTGGGCTTATTAATTAATGTTAATCTATAAATAAATATTCCAACAATCTCCTACTTGGATTGCATTAATTAAACAAGTTGTATAAACAAGCCACAAACAAAATTCAGAAAATGAAACTTCACAAAATCACCGGATCCTATAGGGAAACAACTGATATAATGTCTCATAATCTGAATAGAATACAAAATTTTATTCCACACATCTTAGTAAAATAATAGCATAAATCACTGATTTCTATGGAAAAACAAGTGACATGCATAGTATACCATAATAGAATCATTGAATCCTATAGGGATATAAATGATATAGATACATCTAACTAAACTGAACATAACTCATAGAAAAAAACAAAGCCTAAAGAGAAATTGCAATACAAAAGATTCTCAGACTCCCACTAAACTAGAGCATCAAAAGGAATTCACAATACCCATATAAGTTACATGATTTTGAAAAACTTCTACAGATAAGCCCTTGGTCAATGAATTTATAAGCATCTGCGTGCCAAGAATGTGTACCACATGGGTCTGAGACTCAACAATTTTCTCTTTCACAAACATAAGTTTGATATCAAAATGCTTTGTACAACTAGAATTTCTGTGGTTATTAGCATAATATACTGTAGATCTGTTATCACAGTAAATAGTTAGAGGACTAGATATTGATTCAACTAGGCGCATGCTAGGTAACAACTTTCTCAGCCATATAGATTGACATGTGGTCTCAAAACAAGTAATATACTCAGCTTCCATAGATGAAATTGCTGTAAGTGTTTGTTTTATACTTTTTCAAGAAACAACTTCTCTAGACAACATGAAAATATACCCGATCGTGGACTTATGATCATCAGATAGGAGGCAAAATTTGAATCTAAAAAGCCAACACCTTCAAGATCTTCTGATCCCTTAAAGTTATAATCAGAATACCTAATAACCTCAAGAGAATTTGACCTTCTGTAGGTCAACATATAATTCTTTGTACCTTAAAGATACCTTATAACTTTCTTAGCAGCTTTTCAATGATCTGGACCTGGATCATTTAAGTATCAACTTAGCACTCTAATAGCAAAGACTATATATGGCCGAGTACATACTTAAACATATATAAGGCTACCAAAAGTGAAAGCGTATGGTATCTTTCTTATTTCAACCCTCTTCTTATCATCCTTGGGACACTGTAACTCTGATAATAGTTCACCTTTCTGAATAGGAGCAGGTAAGGGAGAACATGAATCCATTTTAAATTTCTTAAGTACCCACTCAATATAAGTGGCTTGTGATAAACCAAAAATCCCATGAGATCTATCACGATGAATCTATATCTCAAGAACGAAGGAGGAATCACCCATGTCCTTCATGTCAAAATGGCTAGACAATAGGTGTTTTATCTCATTGAGAAAATTCATTGAATTGTTGGCTAACAAGATATCATCAACATAGAGAACAAGAATGGCAAAAT